TCCCCCTGAAAGTAGTTCCTTTGAGTTTAACTCTTCAGTCACCATTCTCACATTTTACTCATTTAAACAAAGGTTTGACTTGTAGTTGTGGAGAAATTATATAATCTACCATATGCTTACTCCATCTTTTTAATCTTTAAAAGTCAATAAAAAATTGCTGAAATTTCTTTCATTCATAAACTTATCAATAGCATTAACCTATGTATGACATTATAAAATTTCATATAAATACCAATACAAAACACCATGTGCTTCATATGGCTGTCAGTATAAGATCAATAGATCCTGAAAGTTCGGAAGCTTCAAAATTAAAATGTTACAAGTTCCTGCTTTAATTACTACATCATTTCTAAATGTTAGAGGAGAGAAACTAATTTCAGTGTTACAACCCATATGTCAATAACATCCATTCCTTTGGTAAAAACAAGTGATCTGTTAGTAAGGTTTCATTATGAGCACACAACAAAACCCTAAATTATTTGCTGATAGGTTGGTTATCCACTGACTTTATGAATTCTAGGATAGCTTCCCCATGCTTCTGAGTCATTTCCGTTTACTACTGTAATATGCAGGGGTATTAATCTTAATATTTAAATATTAATATTTAGGCTTAATTCAGAAAACATGAATAATCAAAACAAACAAGAAAACTTCTTACATGCAATCCCACTCCTGGGCATATATCCGGAGAGAACCATAATTCGAAAAGATACATGCACCCCAATATTCATTGCAGCACTATTTACAATAGCCAGGACATGGAAACAACCAACTGTCTATCAACAGACGAATGAATAAAGAAGATGTGGTATATTTCTACAATGGAATACTACTCAGCCATAAAAAAGAATGAATTAATGCCGTTTGCAGCAATATGGATGCACCTAGAGATTAGCATACTAAGTGAAGTAAGCCAGACAAATATCATATGATATGGCTTATATGTGGAATCTAAAAAAAGATACAGATGAACTTATATACAAAACAAATAGACCCACAGACGTAGAAAACAAACTTATGGTTACCAAAGTGGAAAGGAGGCAGGGAGTGATAAATTAGGAGTTTGGGATTAACATAAACACACTACTATAAATAAAATAGATAACCAACAAGGACCTACTGTATAGCACAGAGAACTACACTCAATATTTTATAATAAACTATAAGGGAAAAGAATCTGAAAAAAATATAAAACTGAATCACTGTGCTGTACACCTGAAACTAACACAACATTGTAAATCAACTATACTTCAGTAAAAAAAAAAAAAAAAAATCTTACAATGCATTCCAAACTGAAATATATTTCATATGGTGGGGATTTTCTTAACACCAACTTCCTAGAATGTAGTGTGATACCTTCTCTTCCCAGATATCTGTGTTGTGTATGTTTTCACTTCTTTCAGGTCTTCCCTGACCACCCTGTATAAAAATAAGCCCCCACATATGACCACCGGTACTTTCTACCCGCCTTGTTTCATTTATCTCTGCAGAACTTATCACCACTATTTAAGTGTACATTTGCTTTCCTATATTCTCCTCCCCAACTCATGCCCCCCACAGAATAACCTTCATGAGAATACAGATGTTCTGGCTGTTCATTCAGAGCCTTGAACAGTTCCTAGTACATAATATGCAACCAAAAACACAGGAGTTGTTAAATGGACTTGGAGATTTTGAGTACAATTCCCTTAAGTTGTAAGTGAGAAAATAACTCCATAAATATAGAGGCAGGAAGGAACCTGAACAGAGAACAAACATTACGGAGTCCATGTAACTGATGTCCCAACTGCATAGTAAGTAGTTCAGAACACAGACTTCACACTTGGACAAAACCAGACTCTAGTCCGCTTATGAATAGCAACACCCTGGGCAAACTAACCTTTCCATGTCTCAATTCACCTGATACGAAATAGGGTTGATAACAGCACCAACTTAACATTGTTATTACAGTGATTAAATGTGATTATGTATGTAAAATACTACAGTACATAGCAACAAACAAGTACTTAATAAAAGGGAGCTAACATTATATTTACCATCATCATCACCATTGACAACATCATCATCTCACTCAGGCTCCACAGATTGTTTTCTAATATTTCCCAAATAATTTATGGTAAGACTGACTATCTAGCTTCTAAGAAGCAGCAAATTAAAGAAGCAGAAAATTAAAGAGAGAGAGAGCAATTGCCAGATGTGACAGCAGCAAAAAAATGGGAGGAAAATGAAAAACTATAAAAACCAGATTCCCAAGGTACTGCATTACAGCACAATAACAATGTCCATAAAGATGACACTTAGCCACTAAGAAAAAGATTACATTATATTACATTTAATACACTCGTAAGATGGCAAGAAAATATAATTCTAAAATTAGGAAGATTTACTTCAAAATGGTTTACCTGAACTTTTGGTGTAAAAGATAAACTTTCATTACCTTCAAAATTAATCTTCTGGAAAAACAGAGTAAAGTAAATGAGGTGTTATTATATAGAAGGCTTGGATATCTCTGCTGTAAATAAATACCCATCAGTGTAATTTTCGCCAATCTCTCTATCTAAAGCTTTTTTGACATCCTATTAAAGATCAAATTATCTCAATATGGGAATCATCCTTCTCTCATAATGTGTAATGTTGTATCTCAAGTGTGGCCTTCAGGGAAATGGTAAGTAGTTCCATTTTACTGTCTCAGTGTCATTGCTACAACCCTGTAACAAATCTGCATTTATTAATCCTGTTTCTTTTAAGCTACAGAATAACCAGGGTTTTCTGAGATTAAGAAGAAAATCAAATTTCAAAATCAAAACCACATTCCAAAATTTCTTAAAATGTATTTTTCTTTGTTCGATTCCTTTGTAAAAACATTGGTCACCATTTAACATACAGTGCCAACAAAATGCACCTAATTTACATGCATAAACAAGTCAATAAATCATAATACACAGACAATATGAATTTCAAATGAAGAGTACTGACACAGCTCATGTTGCATTTAACCATAGTTATAGTTGCTCCCAAAAAAGAAATAGCTAATATGAGAAATAAGAATTCCAGTTTCAATCTGAAATAAAATTCCTCGTGACAAGTAATATGAAACAATGATTATATGAAGTCATTATCTTAAAGGGAACCATTTTTCAGAAGTCACTTTGTGCAAAGCACCATACTAGTATATAAAATAAGATCTTGAAAAAAATGTGTACCTTAGGTTAAGGACAAAAGGGCTCCATTTTTTTTTTTAACTAATTACCTGAATGATGCAAATTTTTATTGTGTCCATAGATTAAAATACTTTTCAATATGAAGGTTATATATTCCATATTTTGACATTTTAAATAATTCTACAGACGCTCAGCTAAAAAGATTCTGTAGGACTGGGTTATTTTCACGAGCAAAAAAAAATGAAAGCACTAATCAAAAGCCCTTTCTAAACTCACAGGCAAAGTTTCTGGATATGGGATTTAATTAATAAAAAGAAAATTTAAGCACCACAATAAAATATGTTTTTAGAGAACAGAAAGGACTGGCATTACAGTTAGGGACAAAAACACTTAAACATTTACCAAAAAAAAAAAATTTTTTTTTAAATATTATTTTTTTAAAATAATCACTCTAATCCTATCATCTGAAATAATAAAAAAAAATTTTGGTGTGTCTGTGGTATTATATGGAAGATACAAACCACAGTTCTATTTAAAACGTTAAGTTTTATAATTCTAATTTGATCAAATGAGACTGTCATAGTATTTGTACATAATAAGAATGTTATATTTTTATTTTCTATGATTTATTTTTTCCCTCAAAAATCTATGATTAAAGGATACCACTAAAATCATTTTGAAGTACACAGAAGAGAATTTATGACAAATTGCCTTGTGAGAAAAAACAGCTCCTCTGAAAATAAAACCTCAAAGTAAATATGTGCTAATAAAACTTTAAAAATAAGGTAGCTATAAATAGAGCCATCTTTAAGTTTCCCTTCTTTTGCATCTATTTAGCAAAATAAATAATTTCAGTGGCCCAAATAGTAACTTTAATTTCTGTTTTTCTCCTCCATGATGTGTTCATCAACTCTTACAATTAAGAGTAATTTTTTAGCCTGTGTAACAGACCACATGCTAACAAACTTTAAGGTTCATAAAATTAAAATTTATGATTCACAAGTATAGATATGAATCCTATCTATGCCTAAATCAGATACACAAGACTGGACATAAGTAACTTCAATCTAAAATATGATTTAAACACCACAAAAAAAGAAAAGGGACCAAAAAAGGGAGCAAGAATTTCTCCTCATATGTCTTTTGACCACTAGGCTATATATAGCAAAAAGCAAAATATAAAATATTTATTTTTCACCTCAAAAGAAGTTATCCAGAAATAAAATCTGCTAAAGAAGATATAACAATGTCAAAATTATGAGTACTCAAACTCACTCAATTCAGATGAGAAGACATTTGTGGGGGGAAAAGCCTTCCCAAACAGTATTATTTGTATTTTATTAACCTTACAAATATCACCTCAACTTCACCACTCATACCATAAACCTTCTTGACAGTTTCCATTTTATACTAATGTGAAAAAAAATTTTTTTAGCCTCTTAATTTTCCAAGTGTCATGTCAAACCCCTTAGTTCACACATTAATTCCACAATCCCCATTAAAAATACTCTAAAATGGGCTTCCCTGGTGTCGCAGTGGTTGGGAGTCCGCCTGCCGATGAGGGGGACACGGGTTCTTGCCCGGGTCCGGGAAGATCCCACATGCTGCGGAGCGGCTGGGCCCGTGAGCCATGGCCGCTGAGCCTGTGCGTCCGGAGCCCGTGCTCCGCAACGGGAGAGGCCACAACAGTGAGAGGCCCGTGTACCACAAAAACAACAACAACAACAAAAAAACCCAAAATACTCTAAAATAATGACTTTCCCTTAGGAGTCAGAAATCACTATGTAATTATTCAAAACTGAGAAATTAAATTGGTAAAAAAAACAATTCAAAATAATACACTTGTTAACATATATGGTTTTATGTAGTAGGGAGACCACATAATTGTTCACCCTGATTAATCTCCGGCTCTTGAGACAATGAGGTCTGAAAATTAAAATGAGTGATAGGTACTTAAAATACTTAAAGTCTCTGTCCATTTTGAATAGATGTGAGAGTTTTTTTTAAATGACTGAAATTATGATTGTAAATGTTTACTGTGAAACAGTACAAAATTGATGTTGCCAAAAAGAGTAAAAAAAATCTTTAACTGATGTTAAACATCTTAAGTAATTTGGAAAAAATCTTAAGGTTGAATTGTAACTATAAGGGAACAACAACAGAAAATGCGTTCATGCATGTACACGTGGTAAGTAACAAATAGGCAAACCCCAAGTCAGCACAGCACATCAATGACTGATACTTAAATGATATTTTGGTATATAAAGAAAGAAAAAGAAAAGGTAAAATGTTGACTGCCATTGATGAAAAAGCATTTCAACAATTTACACAAAATTTTTTTTAAGATGTCCCAAGAAAACCAAGCCACAATAAGTTAGTGTTTTCCATAATACATGCTGAATTAGTTGATCCCATATCTATGCACTGTTACTGTCTTAATTCCTAAATGTTGTGACAGCATATTTAATAATTGAGGTACATTAGTTTACATCTTTTTATAGGTATCCTAAGAGAGTTAATTTTTCTTTTCCAGTTTTTCATCATCTTCACCTCCTCCAAAGAAAATCAAAGGAAACATTCCTAGAATGCAGCCAATAGTCACCCCAACAGCTTTGCCCTATGGAAACAAAAGAAAAGATTTTTTGACAGTTAATTTACCCCTATAAGAGGAATCCTTGCTTAAGTATCTGATAAAAATTAAAAATTACTATGTACTAAAAAATTCAACTGTGACTGTATTTCTTTTGATCATAGTAACTTAAATATAATAATAATGTACAAAGGATTCTAGAACAAATAATATGTAAAGTTCAAAGCAACAAGGAAAAAAAATTTTTCTTCAAATTGCCACAGAAATAACATTAGAGGGGCTACCCTGGTGGTGCAGTGGTTAAGAATCCACCTGCCAATGCAGGGGACACGGGTTCAAGCTCTGGTCCGAGAAGATCCCACATGCTGCGGAGCAACTAAGCCCATGCGCCAACTACTGAGCCCGCATGCCACAACTACTGAAGCCAGCACACCTAGAGCCCGTGCTCCGCAACAAGAGAAGCCACTGCAATGAGAAGGCCGCGCACTGCAACAAAGAGTAGTCCCCGCTCACCGCAACTAGAGAAAACCCACGCACAGCAATGAAGACCCAATGCAGCCAAAAATAAATAAATAAATTTATTTTAAAAAATAAATTAACATTAAAGAAGTATTCAAGTAGAAAAACACTTTTTAAGAATGTCAGAGATAGGAAGAAAGGAAATATCTCACCAAGTACTCTCCATATATTTGGATTTGCTGCCCTTTGTATATATTCCTTTTCAATATTTATCCCCATGTACACCTAATTATATGTAGGTCTAATCATTATGTAAACATAGCTTTGTTTTCTGCCTTATTCCTTCCCCCCCCACAGTCACCCATGTTATAATAAACTCCTTTCCAAACTGTTTCATAAACTTAATAAAAAAACTTCTAAATTCCACTGAATTGATGGGCCTATAATCTACGTAAAGCTCTTTTTTTTTTTTTTTTTCTCCCGGCCACAACGCGTGGCCTGTGGGACCCTTGTTCCCTGAGCAGAGATTGAACCCGGGCCCCATGCAATGGAAGCACTGAGTCCTAACCACTGTACCACCAGGGAATTCAAGCTCTCCTTACCATTAAAAATCATTGCTACTTTTTCACCATTGCAAATGACAGAACAATAAACACATCTGTGTATAGTTCTTCCTCAATGATTTATTTAAAAATCAAATAATATGAATATTTGTGCATAACCATAGGATACTGCCATGCTATCTATTCTAGACAAAACTGCAAATATCTGTATACCCACTGCAATATATTTATATGTATATGTACACACAATTTTTCTGCGATCTCACCTACATTAAAATTTTTTTTTTAATTTTTATAAATGATTTTTAAATGATGCATTCCTATGATGACTATTAAGGTTATACACTTTTGAATTAAGTTTTATGTCTTCATACAGACATTTACTGAGAATCTACAAAATACCAAACTCTATGCTAGGTACCAGGGAGACAGACAGGGTCCAAGCAGATGCAGTCTGTCTCTCTCCGCTAGGAACTTCCAGTTAGTCATCATGCTTTTCTACTTGTTAGTCAATATACTTGGAATTCTCTCATTCACCTAGCAAATGTCTCATCAATAATTTCAAAATAAGCTTAGATCTAATACTCACCAAGAAATCTCCACACCAAAAGAAATTTCTCTCCACAAAGAGTTAATTCTTTTCCTGGTGCTTCTGCTATATCAGGTGCATAATTCTATTACTGAATATGTCACACTAAATTATAATTTATTTAATATGTCTGGTTCCTTACCTACACAATCCTTAAAAAGAACTATAGTCTATTACTCATTTTATGTCCTTCAGTCTCAGCACATAACTGATACTCCTCAACAATAACTGAATCATATAAAGAATTTTTCAAAAATCAAGTATACCTACAAAAATAGTCAATAAAAAATTACTGCTTTTCTGAAACTGCCAAGGCTTGGACAGTTTCTGTTAAAAATTGCACTCAAATCAATTTTAGTCTCAAATTTCTCAAGGGACTGCATACAGTGTCTTGCTCTGGCTACCCAAATTCACCGTCATAAGCCATATAAAGTACTCACCAAATGTGTACTAACACGTGTTTGCCACATGTCAACTTGCTTTGGTGTGAGATCAGGAATTGATAGGCCTAACCTGGAAGCCAAAGCTTCAACGTAGCCTGCAAGTCTTTAAAAATACAAGAGGACAGAATATAAGTTTTTAAAGAGAAACACAATGTCCTCACATAGGAAAAACTAATTACTACAAAGATAAGATAATTCTATACCTGTAATTGGCACCCTAGAAATGGTATAAACATTCTTTTACAACTTTCATCTTCATTGTGTATAAATATATTTGGTTTAAAATTTTTCAGACTGACATATTTAATATACAGGTAAATTAATTAACTTAATTATTCTCTACCATTACCTTAAAAAGAACAATTCAAGGTATATAAAAATTTTTACAACACTTATAATTTATACATTTATTCCAAATTCAAAGCAAAGCACTTTAACATATAAGTTAATAACTATCATCAGAAAACAAAAATTTCCAAAATTTATCAGATTGATATACTAAGAAAAACAGCCTACGATTTTCAGGGCAATTTCAAGTATTTATCAATTCTAAGTTGCCATTGCTTATTGGATACAATCTTACTTTAAGAACTGTAAGAAAGAAAAAAAATTCCCAATTAAACTATGCATACCATCAATTATAAGATAGATCCCAATGTCAGATATGTTAAGTTCTAAAAATCTGTGCAACTAAGATTGATAAAATGTGGTATTTGTTACCTAATGCTATTTTTAAAAGGCAGAGAAGTAGTTCTTAAATATAAGACTCCCAACAAATCTTTATGTCTAATAAAAAAATAATTGTTAAATGATACAATCTAAAACCAAATGGTCTTAGAGATCTATTAGATCATTTCATTCTATTAAATATAGAAAGCTATCACAGTAGCTATATAATATTATCATTATTAACCTTAATGTTGGAAACTGGGAAATAGAATGTTTAAGGGGTAATATCATTATAGGTTTATGTCAGGAATTCCAGGAATATAAAATTTTTGCTTCAGCCCAAAACAAAGAAACTGTGTTTTTAACATTAGCTTTGGCCCCAAACTCCAGTGCAGAAGTCTAATGTATAGAGTTGGGTCTATATAAAGTACCTAAAGCTGCTTTCCTCCAGATTATAGGGCTAAGTAGACCTCTACTAGACCCAGATCCAAATCTCAAAACTTACCATTCTAATGAACCAAAAAAGGAAGAAACAGAACCAAAGACTGAGCAAGAGAAAATATGTTTATCACAAAAATTAATGCCAACTTAGTCTAATTTATACTTCCCAGGCTTCCCCAAGCTCAGGAAGCAGCCCAGGCCATCTGCCGCTTAGAAGAGAGAATGTAAAAACAGAAAGAGAGAAAGCTGGCCTTTTCCAAGTAGGCATCCTCAGTTTGTTTCATCATTCCTACCACATGGAATAAAAAGAGCAAAAACTAGCCGAGTCCCTGTATGTTTTGGCCATTATTCTCTGAAAATTCCTCTCTCTAGAAAACATGCCCAGACAGTATCCTCACATTTGAGCCATATTTCTTATCTTTGGGTTTAGTGGGAGGAGGGTGGGGGTGAAATAATGATAGAGGTTCTTACTTTTAGTCCTGTCTCACCCTTGGAAATGTTTATAAAATACATATAGACACTTCAGTAAATGAAAATTCAACTTACCTTATGGTAGTTTTAGAAAAAATTTTGCACATATCACAATTGCTTGAGAAGATTATTAAACACAAATGTCAGGGTCCCATCCCCAGAGACACTAATTCTGCATGACTGGGATGTGAGCGAGACATCTATATTTGATGCACACCAGAGATTTAAACATTTAGTGCTATTGATTTAGAAACATTAAAATTAAAAATTTAGTTATAAAACACACATGCAAAAATAAATGTCCCTTTTTAAAATCCTTCTCAATTAAAGGAGAATGGAGAAGAGAAAGAGAGCAAGTACACACATGCCCAAATGAATAAATGAATGAACTTACCCAAGACCAGCTAAATCTGACACAAGGTTTCCCAAAGCAGCAGCTAAAAAAATGAAAAATGGACAAGTGAATTATTACATAGAAGTCAGAAAAATCAATAAAGCACTGGTCTGGAAGAGTTATCACATTTCTAAACTACAATGACAATATCCAAAGTAGTTCATTTGACAGCTCTGAATCTTGAGATCTCCAAAATAGAACACTATATTTCTGAGATTATAGTATTCTACCTCCATCAAGTAGTAGGTTTTTTCTAACGTGGCAGCCAGTTCCATTTTGGTTTCAGTATTAAAACACCTGTACAATATTTTGTAGTTTAACTTTCAGATAATATTTAAGGGAATTTGAATACTTGAAAGTTAAAGAGTAAAGCTATATGTACAGCTATGACATTCAAGAAAATCAAGGAGAGGAAATGTCTCTTTCATTAACTCATCCACTTCATGTGTTCCATAGAATAAAACAACACAGATTCATTCCCAAACGTCACCATCATGAAGAATACAGTGGTATTTGGGGGGAAAGAAGGAGACAGAACCAAATTAGATTTTCAATCTTGTATTTCCTTCCTTGACTTTTCTGCCCAACTTGAAAATAAATAATTTGATAGAGAAAAAGAGTAGGAAGGTTTTAGGGTAACACTGAATTAAGAGAAAAAAAATTTTAATATAGTCAATGTAGTAGATTATTGTTACCCATTAACTAACTTAAAGTACCTAAACTTTCTCAGAAAAATATATGCTACATATACGAAATTAAAAAGTAGAGGAATAGGATTACGTAGATAAACTAAGAGACATCTCAGTGAATAAACTCATTCAAATAAAGTATCCTCTTCTAAACCTAACCTACTAAAATGTTTCATAAATATACAATGGAATAATAACATTACTATTATTAAATACCTGCCATAGTTGAAATTCCCAAAATAATTCCAATAGATAACTCAATATGGGTTCCCTGAAAAATGATTACAAAGAAATTAATCTTAAAAATTAAAACTGAAGTGACTATCAAAGAATAGCAAAACATTAATAAAAAGAGGTAAAATAATCAATATGTTATCACAGCAAAATTATATATATAAAATATGCATAAATATACACATATACTACAGCAATTCACTTAATTATTAAATATTGGGTTGGCCAAAAAGTTCATTTGGGTTTTTCCATAACCTCTTATGGAAAAATCTGAATGAACTTTTTGGTCAACCCAATATATGCAGTCATGCAGAAATAACATCAATATTTTATTTATTAAAATTAGGCTTTCATAAAAATAAAAAATAGCAACACACATAGCAATATAATTCATCATTAATAATCTAGAATTTATATTTTCTTACCACAGAAAGTTGTTTTAATGCTTTTGAACACAAAGACAACCAACTCACCTACATTTTAAATTCTGAATGATACAACTATACTATTGATATTTACCCTATAAAAGATTTAAAAGACAGACAAAACCAGTTTCTAGGGACCCAAAAAATCAGACTTCAAAAATTATCCTTAAAACACTTAGTTCTTTAACCATTAAGTAATGAGACTGTATGATTCATTTATAAACAACAATAGCATTTAATACAATAGACCTACAGCAAAAATGAGGTTCCATGTATTTCCACTGAATTTATTGAGAGTTTAAGATTTTCTATGTCTATCTCATTTCTCTAAAGAAAAGACGGGCTCGTATTTTTCCTTCTACTTTAAAGAGAAGGAACTGAAGTGAAGAAGATTAAACCATTCTAATGGATTATTACATAGAATAAAGAAGAAATCCTACCATCTATTGTGCTAATTCATTTCTAATCCTTACACAATTCTGCCATAAGTGGACTTAACTTTCAAAAGCTCTCTTGAATACTGATGCTTGAAAATTTCTAAAACTTAAAAAAAAATCTCAATAGTACTTACGGAGAAAAAAAAAAGAATGCCCTACAAATCTCAACAATATTTGTGGAGAAAAAAAAAAAAGAATGTCCTATCTGGTAACACAGAAATATTGTATTACTCAATTTTATTTATAAAATTGAAGAGAAGCTAAGTTTAATTTCCTCAATTTTCTTTCCCCTAGGCCTGTTGTTTCCACTCCTTTAAAATATAATTCTTGTAGAGTATGGACCAAACAGCGTGATGTACAAAAGTCTCCCAGGCACTTAAAGTTACAAGGTTGTAAAGATACCCAAAGAAACAGATTTCTGAAGAAGAAAACAGGCATGAAGAAGTAGCTTTATATATGGAACCCAAAAAGTCAGGAGCATTACTACAGAAGAGAAGCACTTGACAGTTATAGTGTATAAAAAAATAAATACAGGATCTTTAACAGCAATGAATCATTAGAAATGACCCCCAAAAAATCTGTTTGCCAATACATGTATTTATAAAGCATTTAAGTGCTTGATCATTTGGTTGAATTTAAGAAACGTGAAGATCCTTCAAACAGCATGAAAAGCCTCACATAAAGTCAAGGTCGGTTTGAAGGCAATGGACTATCCACTCCCTTCCTTTTTCCCACAGTTACATCAAATTTCATGTTAACAGGTGAGGTAGAAATTATAAATAAACCTAATACTAGTTGTCTTAAAGTTATACTTGGTTCATCACCTTAATATGATTAATCTATGCTAGAATTTTAATCAACGCTATCCTAATTAAATTGTAAGAAAAATAATCCCCCCAAAACCCACTAAAATATAAGTTATAAAAAGCAATCCCAATAATATAAAAATATAAGAAAAAACTATGAAATCAAAAGCTTAGTATGAACAGCAGCCAAGAATAAAGGTCAAACCTACTATGAGAAGTTGTATAGGAATTTGTTTACATGACTATAACTAGGTAGCAGTTAAGAGAGTATACCTAACAGGAAAAACATAAAATGGCATGATAGAAAAGAAGAATAAAATATCTTCTTGATTTACTATCTTCAGTCATAGCTATCCTACAATGTTTGGAGGCAATCAGTGTTTTTTTTTTTTTTTTTTTAAAAAAAAGGTGAAAAACATCCTTAAGATAATAATGTTCACTTATTTCCCTTTTCATAGATCCTACAGTTATATTATTTATGGTCTATTAAAAAGCCTCTTTGGAAAATTTAACTGTTCTTGAATTATTTTGCAATTATCACAGGATAATATTTTTGCCATACCTATTACTCTTAATCAGGTTTAAGCCAGTAGTTTAATTATTTATTTCAGTACTATATAAATAAAAAACGGGTGATACGTTCCTGAAACTGGATTTTAATGTAAACCAGAAAAACAAATATTACTGAATTAGAGTCAACCATCTCAGGCCTGGAAAAATAGTCCACTCTCAGTTACACTAATAATGAGACACAGGCCTGAGTAATACAAAATAGGAACATTACAGTAATTTGACTTTAGAATGTGGTCATTCTATTTGTTTTGTCTTGTTGGTATCTGTATTTAAACACAGATATCTGTTACTTTAGATATTTATTTCAAAGAAATATAAGACCATACTGTGAAGGTCTTATTCAAGATCTAAGAAACTACCCAGTTTCCCTATTCTGATATCTCTTCAAAATCTCCCTGCACCCCTCTTTATGCAAAATATATCATCTCAACACTTCCCTGTAGCAAGTCAGTCTTTCATCATTTGAATATCTAAGGTCTGCCCAACTGAGATGAAAAAAAAAATGATTATTAAGATGGTAGAATGAGAGGTACCAGCTGTCAATAAAGAGAATCTAAAATATTGAGTGTAAAACTGAAACAGAGAAGCTTTAATTCAGATAATCTATTCAAGAACACATCAGACCTTAAACTATAGCTTCTAAATTCATCATAGTCGGGTTTTCATTACAATTAGATTTTATTTACATTAACTATTTAAATAATCTAACCAACTCAAGGTTTCAGTAATTTCAGAAAAGGTAGTGTGGTATGGTTGAACAAGTTTCTCATATTCACAGATATATAAAATAGCCAACTTGATTCTTATATACATAATAGGAAAATGTCATAATCAGTCAAAAAAACTAGCATTTTGAAATTATATTTTAGAGTCTCTAACCAGACTACTTTGCTAAAGAATTATGTATCCAATGGGTGCTTATCACCTTCAAATTATGTGCATGCTACAGTATCTTCTGTGACTGCTTAAGGAGCAAGATACCTTCCTGAGGGGTGAACCCTGTGTTTCCTCAACCAGGTGAATGTCTAGACTTTCTGGGTATCTGATCCCACCTTATCAATCTGGACATAAGGTGAGACTACATACCAAAGAAAACCATTCTTGAATGAACCAATTTTAGATATTCTTTAAGCAAATTTTATAATCCATACAATGTAAATTATACTTTTATCCCTATTTTGAAACCAAATATTCTATTTATATCCATCTATAGTACATGTGACCTCCAAAACACCGAAACAAAAAACAAAAACAAACAACAACAACAAAAAAACCCCTGGCATCTCTCAAATATATTTCCCTCACATTCAATAATCCTAAAATCATTCCATTTCTTTTTTGAGCGGTCTCCTACAAAACACCTAGAATTTACAGAACTTTTTAAAAGTTTGAGTCCCTGAAGAGAAGTGGATAGAGCACTGGGCAGTTTCAGAAGACCTGCATTTTCATCATGACTTTATAATCTGGATCCAATATTGGTATCTAGTGACAAAAAGTGTCACAGAAGAGTAAGAAAGATAAATCAGCCATCCCTGAGACTAAACAATACTTGTAAGAAACAACCTTAAATTAAAATGACTTCAGCAAAGGAGAACTTTTTAACACTATGATGGAACAAAGACTGAAGGGTTTATTATTCACAGTATTCTGAATTGAAACTTAAATCATCTTTGGGTTAAATGGATAGACTGTATATCCAAACACCCTTTAAAACATTTTTGTATGGGAAAACTGGACAAGGAACTAATTAATAACATACACATGATGAGAACTGCTGATACAATTAAAGAACATTAGAAAATTTTACATACTTTATTCTTTAGTAAGAATGTTGAAACTAGAACAGAATAATACAGACCCAATAAATATTTGTTTATTATTGTCAATGCTTTACCAAAAGTCTTGATGATTAATAGATATGATGCCTTAAAAATTGAGCTACAGTCTAATTAACCTGAAATATAGTTAAAAATAGCCTTGTTCATTATGATATTAATTAAAACTTTATAGCTACAATATGTAAATTATTAGGAAAATTTAGACCACATTAATTTCTTTATTAACTCAAAATAGAAGGGTTGAAAGAACTTACTGCAACAATCATAATTGCATTATCCAAAAAGCCAAACCCTATGAAAGGTATCGCATTGTGGATGAATACTGAAAAACATCAAAAACAGAAAAATATGTTTTAAGATTTCTATAATTTTAAAATGACAAAAACAGACTATATGATTAAACTCTCATAAATAGATTTAAGTTTTGGAATTTGCTTTCCATTCCCCATAGACAAAAGATTCTGCTTCTCCTCTGTTTATATACTTGGTGGAAGATATACTGGGGAAAAAACAAAATAAAAAACACATAACATGTAAAATTAATTGTGTTAGGCTTTTGTATTTCCTTATTGGCAACGCACACACGTACAAATTACATACAGTTAATGACAGAACAAATAAATACACAAGTACCATGTTTTACCTGTTAAATTACTATTGACATCAATCTTTTTCTCTCTTAGACCTAACTACTGATACCATAAAATTGATCTCCATATTAGAAATAATAAAAAGTGTTCTGAATCAAATATCAGGGAAGCTATCTGCACTTATACTCATTAAACAATTTTTTAAACAAATGTTAGGAAAATGTGATGATCTCATCTGTCTTAGACATCTGTGTTCAAAGTCCTCTTTCCCCCCTCAACACATCAGTATCCCTGATAACTTTCACCAACTAAAACAAACAATATTTGATTTAAATGAAAATGTAACTTGATCTCTTCCTACCAAAGGCACATCTCACCCTATTTATCTAGTACATAATCTGAATGACCTGAGAAAACAGAAGTGTAACTAGGAAGAACTAATACCTATTTAAAAAATATATTTAGCTTCATTTTTTTTCCTATTTACATCTTCAGCACATTGCAGAATGCCTAGTGCACAGTAGATGCTCAATAAACATTAGTTAAATAAGTTGAGGACAACTAATTTGGAAAGGAAGAGAATTCCAGATTAAGAGAATTGAAGGAAGACTGTGAAACAGATTAAAAGCTGGGGATAGTTAAGACTTTATTCTAGTTATTCTATAAATTTGCCAAGGTATAGTCAACATCCATTCAACTGAGGACTTTTTAAAAATAAACATTAAGGCTCTGAGTTTTATACCACATCCAAAAAATAGTCCCTTAAACCAATTCGTTATATATGTGTTCAGTGCCTTTAGATCTTTTTCCTTTTCATGCAGCTAAGTCCACAAAAAGTATAATTAAAATATAATCCAGAAGTTATGAAAATTTGATACCACTTTACACCAATCAGGGAAGGCTAATAAGCAGTAAAACAAGAAACATTTCTACCCACAAGCACTGTCGAAGACTAAGATCAAGGGGGAAAATAGTATATATCCTAGGTCATTTCAGAGTTCTTCTCGTTATCATATAAGAATGTCCCAGGTAAAAAGCAGCATCTTTTAAATTATAAAGCATATTGTTTTGTTTTTTTTAAGCATATTGTTTTAAAAGCTATGAAAGATGATAAAAATCAAATGGCAAATTAATGAAATGGGATTTTTTAATTAAAGAGTCTAGACTTAGTTCTTTGACTTTTTGCCTAGATCTAGCTGCTTAATGACCAGACATTCAAAATTTTATAATAATCAGCTTCTAAAACACATACAGAATTTCAAAAACATATTACAAATTTGACATGTCAAAAGAATATAATGAAATTTTTAAAATTCACCATATGAAACATTTACAGTGAAAAGAGAGCTACTTAAATGTATATCTGGAGAGAAGACTCTCCAGACATCTCAATCATCTTTGAAATGTAAATATGGCAAAGTAGCTATGAAACCTTTGGGATTACTAAACATTTTAGGGTTAATTTGATGGCATCTCTAAAACTGGCTAGTTATAAATATCTTAAAATTAGGTGTCAAGGTTATTAAACTAAGTTTAAGATTAGACTAATTGCTATCTTAGTAAAAACCTGGTCATAAAACCAAGGCATGTTGCTACACTGCTATAATAATTACCTGGAACTATAAAATATATTATGCTTTGATGTTTAGACCTAAGTAAATGTGTCCTGTAAATAAAAATTTATTTTCATTCCAAAGGAAAATTATAAGTTTCAGAAAGTCAAATAAACATGTACTGGACACTCCACAGGGCACTTGAGATACAAAGATACTTGGTTACCAGCCCTCAAGAAGTTTGGGTATGATAACACAGCCATATAAGCAGGTAATTTCAATATGACCCCCAAAATGGTAATAGCATTATACAGTGCTATGGATATTGATTGTATGAATCCAAGCTAGAAGAATAAAAAAAGATTACCTGGGAAAGAAACGTCTTAAAGAATTCTTAAACTGTTTTGATATCTCGGAAAAGTTACTTATTTCTAATACAAATTATATTCTACCTCTGAGAGTAAAAAGAACTATTAAAAAGAACTGGCTACTACATTTTAATTATATAAGTTTGCTCTCCAGCATGTAATGATATCCTACCAATTTCTTCAGTTTCCTTTGGGAAATATTATTCTCTAACTCAGTAGTTGTTAGCAAATCACATCTAATATTTAGCTTTAACTTACAACCTATTCAAATTCACCGCACCGCTAAATAATTCTCTTCTTCCATTGTCTTTATAGTAAGATCCCAAACTATTTTACATTACTTTGGTGTTAGCCCTTGAATACTTATTCCAATCGTAATAAAGAAAGCACACCAGCAGCATTGTAAAGCTCTTCTTCCTCGTGGTTTAAAATGAACTTTACTTTCCTCCTTATTACAAAGAACAAATCAGAGTATTTTCTCCACCAAAGAAAATAGCCTAGAAATTCTAGTTCTGAAATTACCCAACTTAAATCCAAACTAAACATACCCTTCTTCTTGGGAATTAAGAAAACCTCTACTATAATTCTATCTCTAGATGGTAACAATATTTAAACAATAATAGATACGGTTAACAATCTTAGAAATTCCATAATACTGTAATATGTCTTAAACCAAGTTTACAAACTTTTTGCTTCAGCATAATAAATAGGATAATCCACTCTATCTGGAATGATTTCTGTACTATTAATGAGTAACACAGTTATTTCAAGTCCAAAAGACAGATGCACAAATATTTAACAATTATAGAACCATTACCATATCTCAGTTGTCCTGGGGTGGGTGGTAGAGCTTCCAATTTTTCTGAAGGGGAAAGAAAGGGTGTGGTCAAGAATTAGTTACTATAGCATGATTTCTTTTTTATTACAATGAAGAAAATACCAGCAGAATTACAAAGTGAGAGAATAGCAGAGTTTTTCATAAATTATCTTTAGGTTAATGGACCAAAGTTATCCATACAGGAAATATTACTTGGTATAGATTAAATTACAAAGCTAGAAAACAAAACTGAGCTTTAGTTACAGGCCTACCATGGACCCTATAGCCCTGAGTAAATCATTTGCTTTTTGGTTTTTTGTAAGTCCTTGTGTCTATATAATGAGGCTGTTCACGCAAACTACAGTGGAAAAAAAAATAACTTCAGAAATATAGCTACCCTTCTTTAAAATGGCAACCCTAAATGACTTAAGAAATATATACCCAAACACACACTGATAATACTCAAGTAGACCTAGATGTCCTTTAAAAATAGGAAAATAATATTTTAAAGCAATGTATTACACCAGTAACTTCACCAGATTGTGTTATGTTCCTTAATTAATATCCCTAGATAATATACTGAATATTTTGAGTTTTGAAACCTATACTACTGGATAATTAGAATATTCTACACAATAAAATGACCCAAAAGAGTAGAGAGAGTATCATTCAACAAATAGCAATATTACTTATAATATATGTCATAATAAACACAGAAAGTTTTCCCAAGTATATACATCAAAGTAAGTAACTTCAAGCGCCATCATTAAACCTAAAAATTAACAATTGTTACAAAGAATCTACCGACCTAATCTCATAACAATAAACAACTCACCATTTATAAGTAAGAGTAAGCTATGGTAAAATGGCAGAGAATTCCGCCTTCTTTATCCTCACTCAATCCAACAGAAGTAACTGATAACCTACACAGAAGAACCCAAACCATGGATCGCTCTGCTCTAAAGATTTAGTACAAACAACTGAAGGGAGCAAGGAAATTCATTACAAACTGGATATATATTTTCTAAAATATTTATTTATAATCTATGACAACATAAGAACTGAAGAATTTAGTTTTTAAAAAGGAAAAAGCAAATAAATCTCCATTAATAAGCTATATAAAAAGGAGTATGATTCATATTTGTAAATGTTATTTTACTAAAAAAGCATATAGTATCATAAAGGCTTTACAATAAGAAATACGCTAAAACCTAGAGTTTAGGCAATTACTGAATTATTCAGAAAGTTCTAAGAATGCAAGTTTAAGTTTTGTTTTTCCTCTTTTAGAACGGTTAAGAAATGAAGATATCCTAAAACTTTGTAGAATTTTACATCTGCTTAGAATATACTTTCCATTCTTTGACTAGCACTGTTACTTCAAAACCTACTTTGAAAGCATGCAAATAGTTTTCCAAATTTTTAACAAGAAATATAAGATACCACTGTACTTCCACAGTTTTCTCTGGTGAAGCAAACATGCAAAAGTGGTTACATACCAGAACTATTTCCTAGTTGCATTACTCTCATCATCACTCAGTTCTGACACTGTGAGGAGAAGTCCTTGTCAGTTGACTGGAACATCCTGAAATACCTAAAAATTCAACAAGCAGGACCTTCCCAATATAATGAGAATATACAGAGTCCTTGCTTTTACTTCTTCAAATTCCTTACATATTGAGCAAAATATTTAAAATATTTTACAACTCCTAAGACAAAAGGATAAGGGCTAGGCAAATGTATAACGTGTAGCGGTAAAGAGGAAAAAAAAAATCAAATAATGTAACCAATATTCCTAATCTGTCTTTCCAAGTACACATAAGGATTAAAAAATTAAAGGTAATGAAAAATAATTTTTTTTAAAGATAGAGAAAAAGAAAGAAATATAAAGTAAAGGAGACAGAGCAGGGAAGAAAACCACTGGCACAGAGATTAAAGTAAAATCAAAGCACAGATTTTTGCCTCCTACATCATAGAGAACCCAAGGAGTAATAAGAGTAAATATGAAAGGAACATTTCCTAGAAAGTGAAAGTTTTATTAGAAAGTATCTATAAAAAATTGTGAATCATAAATTGATCAGTTTGAGGATTCTGACACTATAAATTATCTTCTTTACCACATTAACTGAAAGAAAATAAAATACATATCAGAAGTTAAAGGGCTTCCCTGGTGGCGAAGTAGTTAAGAATCCGCCAGCCAATGCAGGAGACACGGGTTCGAGCCCTGGTCCGGGAAGATCCCACACGCCGTGGAGCAACAAGCCCGTGTGCCACAACTACTGAGCCTGTGCTCTAGAGCCCGCGAGCCACAACTACTGAGCCCGCGTGCCACAACTACTGAAGCCCACGAGCCTAGAGCCCGTGCTCTGCAACGAGAGAAGCCACACAATGAGAAGCCCGCGCACAGCAACGAAGAATAGCTCCCTCTCACTCCAACTAGAGACGGCTCGCAAGCAGCAACAAAGACCCAATGCAGCCAAAAATAAAACCAATAAAATAAATAAATTTTAAAAATAATTTAAAAAAAAAGAAGTTAAAAACATTAGATGTATAACACACAGCAAAACTCAATCTTGGAAAGAGCCCAAGGTTTCAGCAATCTATACAAGTTTTAAAATGTCATGGCTGCCAATTTAACCTCCCTGAAAACAGTCATAATAAACCCCAAAGTTTTATTTCCCTACATATATATCTTAACCATAAAATTTTTCTTCTGACATATGGTAAACTATGTACACTTACATGGAAATGTATTCTAATCTACTGTTTTATTAAGCAGAATTTGGAGTTAGAAAAACCAGTTCTTTCAGTTACTCTATGTGTGTATGTACGTGTTACATGCATCATAATTTCTCTCTTCTTTTCTAAATATTTTAAAATAAGATGACTATTAAGAGTGTACATCACCACACCATATTCTCTAACCATTTTTAGCTTAAGAAATCCTGGTTCTACTTCCAATACTGACTGAATAATCTTCTATCAGACCAAGCCTCCTGCACAGAAAAACTATAACTATAAATAAATATTTGAAAGCACTGGAAAATGACCAAAAGTAGGTTGATTCTGGAGAGGAATCAACACTTAGAAGAAAGAATGGAACTAAATGAGCTACCCATTTAACACAGCTTCTGGCCTAATCCACAACATGTAGACCAACTAAAACTCTTAATAAAAAAACTTCAGTCTTTCTGGCCTAAAGAAGTAGTGGGCAGATAAAAAGAAATGAAATTGAGTTATTTGTAGTGAGGTGGATGGACCTAGAGATTGTTACAAAGAGTGAAGTAAGTCAGAGAAAAATAAGTATCGTATGCTAACACATACATATGGAATCTCAAAAAAAAAAAAAAAGGTTCTGAAGAACCTAGGGGCAGGAAAGGAATAAAGACACAAACGTAGAGAATGAACTTGAGGACACGGGTAGGGGGACAGGTAAGCTGGGACGAAGTGAGAGAGTGGCATGGACTTATATATACTACCAAATGTAAAATAGATAGCTAGAGGGAAGCAGCCGCATAGCACAGGGAGATCAGCTCGGTGCTCTGTGACCACCTAGAGGGGTGGGATAGGGAGAGTGGGAGGGAGGGAGACGCAAGAGGGAGGAGATATGGGGATATATGTGTATGTATGGCTAATTCACTTTGTTATAAAGCAGAAACTAACACACCATTGTAAAGCAATTGTACTCCAATAAAGATGTTAAAAAAAAAAAAAAAGAAGTAGTGGGCAGGGTGCAAGGTAACCAAAGCCGCTGGAAACTGAGAGGGGAATCCTGGAAAGAATAAAGTCAGAAAGGAGGAGCCCTAAGTTCTGTATACACATTTGGTTCAAATATATAGCTGACCTGTAAACCACGCTTGTGCAGGGAAAACTCCAAAAATCTCAGTTAAAGGTAAAATAACTGAAGATTTGAGCTGCAGCCCAAGAGACAGAGTTTGCAATTTGAACCTAACAATTAACTGCATGCTAAAACAAATAAACAAAATTCAATATTTTTCAGAAGAATGAAACACAATCCAGAGTCTCTGCAACATAATAATAGCAATGACTAGGATACAATCCAAAATTACTTCACAAACAAACAGGAAAACCTGACCCATTTCCAGGATAAAAAACAATAGACAGAGACCAATTCAAAAGTGACTCAAATATGCATATATATGTACAACTGTATCACATTGCTGTACACCAGAAACTAACACAACATTGTAAATCAACTATACTTCAATTTTTTTTTTAAAGTGACTCAAATGTTAGAAATAGCAGACAAGGAATTTAAAGTAGTAATTAAAATTATATTCGAAGATGTAAAAATAAAAATGCTCAAATAGAAATGATAAAAAACAAACTGAAGTTCCATAACTGAAATATTCAATATCTGAAATTTTAAAATTAACTGGATAGGCTTAAAAACATAATGAAAGTGACAGAAGAAGCAATTAATGAACATAATGATAGATCAGTAAAATTACCCAATCTGAAAAAGAGAATAAAAGGACTGAAAAACAGTAAACCAGAGTCTCAGGGACCTGTGGCTAAATATCAAAAGGTCAATATATGCATAACTGGAGTTCCAGAAGGTGAGGAGAAAGAAAAGGACCCAAAAATCTTTTAAAATAAATAATGGCTAAAACTTTCTCAAAGTTGGGGGAAGACAAAAATTTCAAAAGATTCAGGAAGTTCAGTGAACCCTTAGTAGGATAAATATAAAGAAAACCAATGACAAAGAAAAAAATATATTGAAAGCAGTCAGGAAAAAAAATGACACATTAAGTAAAGGAAAACAATGATTTGAATATATGGAAAGAAAAAGAAAGTCCAGTATTGCATATCCAGAAAAATATCCTTATCCTTCACGAATGAAGGCAAACTGTACCTCAGTTAAACTAAAACTATGAAAAAATGTGTTGCCAGCCAATCTGCAAAACAGGAAATGCAGAAGAAACTTCTTCAGACGGAAGGAAATACCAGTTGGAAAGTAAAATCTTCAGGGAAGAATGAAGAGCATCAGAAATGGTAAATACTGAATAAATACAAAAAACTACTTT